TCTCAAAAATAAATAAACATTAAAAAAAAAAAGTTGAAGATGAGATCATTGAACCTGGGACAGTTGCTCAGCTAGTAAGTAAGCTGATCTAGAATGTGGACCCCACATCTTGCTGATTTCACGACCATCTTGTGTCTTCCTTGTTCCACTGTGAATACGTGTACAATCATAGGGAAGATGGGATAAGCCACAGAAAAGTGAATATTTTGCTGAAGACGGGAATACAGATCTTTTTAGCTATTCCTGATTCTGCACTTCTTTCCAGGGTTTGTGCAGCAGCATGTCTTGAAGCATTATAAATGAAACACTTAAAACCAGGTCTGTTATTGCTCTCTATTTGGATATAGTGTTGGAAGTTATCCCAAGACAGTGAGGTTATCATGGTTATCATAACACATAGCCTAAATGCTTGTGTTTTAAGGCCACATCCTTATCTGGGAAACAGATACCACTGTGGGTAAACAGTCTGTTTCAGGATTTCAGAGTTTCACGATGCCTTGACTGTGCCTTTCAATAGTTAACTACTAAAATTGTGATACAGGCTCTTTTGCATCCACTTAATTTGAGAAAGGACTAAAGTTTCTGAGTACAGAAATTGTCTAAGCAGAAGGGTGGTAGTTGTCAACGATATATATCATGACATCATGAAATCATTGATCTCTCACTGTATTAGGACACCTTTGGTAGCAAGTACACTTTCACTGCGATCCTTCACCATGATAATAAGAGACTTTCAGGAAAGATATTCTGTAAACAGGAATGACAGGTGTACCATTTCTCTGAAGTTAGTGACACCTCTACATTTTACAGCTCAGTGTAAATGTTTCATTTCTTTTGCTAAGTAGTGTGCTTCTGGGGTGTAGAAAGCAAATATTTCCCCACTGTGTCATCTTTTCATACAGTTTATTACTGGTTAATACTGAGTTAATAGTTTTATTACTTATTGGCTTTTAGTGTTACCCTTTTGTCATCTCCCCGCCAGCCAGTGCAATACTGATAGTGACTGACTCCAAGAGGCCTAGGGCCTGCCATCCTCTGGCACTGCATGTGGTGGTCTGCAAACTTTACCTTGTGACTTCTTTCCCCTCTCTGGACCACTCTTCCCTTTCACTGTAACCTATTAGAAATGTGAGGATGGGTAGTGGGAAAAGCAGCCAGGGGTGGCTTCTTAAGATTTGCAAAGGGTGGCAGAGCTCTGATGACCAAATTGTGGAGCTCAGTCTGACACGTTCCAGTGTACTTCCAGGTATCTGAAACAAACTCTTCCCCCAAATCCACAACAATGGCCATGTAATTATAATTAATTAGTCCCAAGTAGTCTTGGTGTCTTCATGTATCTTGTTGGATGGGTGGAGGTAGTAAAGTTAATACAGTAAAACCTTGGTTTGCGAGCATAATTCGTTCTGGAAATGTGCTTGTAGTCCAAAGCACTTGCATATCAAAGCGAATTTCCCCATAAGAAATCATGGAAACTCAGATGATTTGCTCCACAACCTAAAAATACTCATATGAAAAATTATTATAGTGCTGTAATATAATGTAAAATAATAAAGAAAATACAAAGTATAAAGAAAAATACATAAATTAACCTGCACTTACCTTTGAAAACCTTCGTGGCTGGTGTGAGGGAGATGAGAGAGGAGGGTTTATTATGTAGGGTGACTTTCACTATCACTCACGGAATCAGTGCTATCTGTTGGCTCAATGGAATCTTTCTGCATGGGAGCCATTGTATATGCTTGCACGGATGCTGACTACAAGTACAGTATTAATAAACTCTTGTCATGTACTGTATTTAATCTAACTGGCAATAAGGCAGCAGAAGAAAGGGTCTATATTTGCAGGCAGCCTGACCTAGAATGAAGCAAAGCATTCCTAAGCTTGCTCTTGTATGGAAAAGCAAAGGACTGTCCATAGGTACTTCCTTTGAAGTGACAAAAAATACACTAGGGCCAGTTGTGGGCACCTTCTAACATTCTGAAAAATCACTGATACTTGCCAAACACCGTGGCCTGAGACTGAGCATCCGAGCATGGGAGACCATCACCCATAATCCCTCAGAGCGAGAAAGAGAGAGAAAGAGAGAGAAGAACCAATGGCTCAGGTGTGATCATGTGATATTCAGTGTCATGTACTACTCGTTGTGCAAGACATCACCCATTTATCCAGTTAAAATTTATTAGAAATGTTTGCTCATCTTGTGGAACACTCACAGAACAACTTACAATCCAAGGTTTTACTGTATATATATCTTAGTATGGAATTGTAATTTTTACCAGTAAATGTAAGAGGAATAATCTATTCTAGTTTCTAGTTTCATATTATTTTCAAATACAAGCCAAAACTTACTTTTTCTAATTTCCTTAGACACTTATTAAGAAATTTGTTCAAACATGTTTGAATTTTCAACAAGACCACTTGGTAACTGAAACAAAGTTCAGTTTGGCCTCATTTACCTCAAGCAAAATCAGTCTCTCTCTCTCTGCGGCGTGGAGGTGGTGTGGGGGGAGAGGGTGTAGGGGAGGGGGTGTGGAGTGAAGAGTAGATGTGACGAAAGCAGAATTCGGGTAGATTAGTCACCTTGGTGTTCGGATTTCTGTGTCTGCTTTTTCTTCCTCCTCTCTTCACCAGCCTACCCTGGGCGTTATCAGTCTTTTTTACCTTTGTCAGTCTCTGAAGTTACACAGAATTTTTCAGGGTTTTAATTTGCACCACGGTTAACATCTCAATGGAGCATCTTTCTCCTTGTACAGATACGGATGCAGGTTCATTGTATTGTCCTTCATGGCTATATTCATAGCTCTGTTGACAGTGAGCTGCTTGAAGTGCCTTGGGTATCCAGAAGATTTGGGGGAACAGTTGAGCACTTTGATAAAGATCGATTTTATTTATCCTTACTTGAGAAAAAAATTAATGGTTTTTTTTTTTTCCTTTTCTGTTTAGTTGCTGATCATCTGGGCTGTGATCCTCAAACACGGTTCTTTGTCCCTCCTAATATCAAACAGTGGATTGCCTTGCTGCAGAGGGGAAATTGCACATTTAAAGAGAAAATATCACGGGCTGCTTTCCACAATGCAGTGGCCGTGGTCATCTACAATAATAAATCCAAAGAGGAGCCTGTTACCATGACTCATCCAGGTAAACAAAACCGGGGGGGTGTGAGTTTTGTTTTTCCTTCTAGATATTAGTGCGTTGTGGGTAAGCATTCTACCACCGCTGAATCCACATCATTTACAACATCATTCTATGGTTATATTCATTTTTTTATGTTCATTTTTGGTATTATTGTTTGTTTATTGAGATGCATGTCTTTTTCCTTTAGTTGAATCCTTTTCTTAAATAATGACAACAGAGTCTGTAAAACTTGCACTTACTACGTAACTGGTTGTGACTAAATTCTTAGTCATTTTACATTTCTACATTCCACTTGATAATTTTGAAAAATAACATGTATTCTATTCAGAATCACTTGTCCAGGTTATGTCATGGACTCCCAAGGATTACCTCTTCGAGAAGGATGCATTTTATCTTACCAGGATAAATGTTGAGACTGATTCAGCGATTAGCATTACTACAGTAGAAACGGTGTTTCTTCATTTCTAATGTAACTGCTTTAATAACAGTAGTTGCAATTTATTGAGCACTTACTATACATATGCCAGGCAGTGGACTATAAGCTTTGGGGGGCGGGGGGATGTTTTATAATAGACTTTATTCTTTACAGCAGTTTTGTGTTCCCAGCAAAATTGAGTGGAAAGTACAGAGATTTCCCACACAGCCCCACATGTAAAGAGCCTCCCCCACTTTCGACACCCCAGCCAGAACAGTACATTCATTACAGTCAGTGAGCCTGCATTGACTTCTTATAATCACCCACAGTTCCTGGTTTACTTTGGGGGTCACTTCGGCTGTTCTCCATTCTGTGGGTTTGGACAGATATGACATGAATCCATCATTATGGTATCATACAGAGTATTTTCACTTCCCTAAAGATCCTCTGTGCTCTCCCTATTCATCCTTCCCCCCCATCCTCCTACTTCCCCACCCCTGGAAACCACTGTTTTTTGTGTTTTTTTTGTTTTTGTTTTTGTTTTTTTTTTTTTTTTTTTTTTTTACTATTTCCATAGTTTTGCCTTTCCAGAATGTCTTATAGTTGGAATTATACAGTGCATAGCCTTTGCAGACTGGCTTCACTTAGTATTATACATTTAGGTTTCCTCCATGTCTTTTCTTGGCTTGATAGTGCATTTTTTGAGTGCTAAATAACATTCCGTTTTCTTTTCTTTATACTTTTTTGTTTAATGGTTTATTTCTGAGAGAGAGACAGATACAGAGAGCGAGCAGGGGAGAAGCAGAGAGAGAGGGAAACAGAATCCGAAGCAGGCTCCGGGCTCCAAGCTGTCAGCACAGAGCTGAACCCGTGAACTATTGAGACCATGACCTGAGCCAAAGTCGGACGCTTAACTGACTGAGCCACCCAGGCACCCCAATAATATTGCATTTTCTAGATATACCACAGTTTATCTCTTCACCTCCTGAAGAACATCTTGGTTACTTCCAAGTTTTGGCAGTTATGAATTAAGCTGGTATAAACATTTGTGTGCAGATTTTGTGTGAGCCTAAGTTTTCACATCCTTTGGGTAGATAGTAAAGAGTGTGATTGCTGAGCTGTATAGTAGAAGCATGTTTCATTTTATAAACCGCCAAACCATCTTCCCCAGTGGCTGTACCATTTTGCGCTCCCACCAGCAGTAAATGAGAGCTCCTGCTGTTCCACATCGTTGCCAGCATTTGGTGCGACCAGTGCTCTGGATTTTTGCCATTCTAATAAGTTGTTTTAATTTGTGTTTCCCTGCTGACATATTATATGGAGCTTTTTAATACATATTTTCTTAGTCCTCACCATAACTGCATGGTGCAGGTACTCTCCCATCTTACACATCAAGAGAATTGGCAACAGGAGGGAGACTGAGCATAGGTCCGCCAGTGGTCTCTGATCTCTTAAAGTTGAAACCTAGATGAAGTTGAGTTCTGTATTCATAAGTATTTTAATTTTTTTTTTTATTTTTGAGAGAGAGAAAGAGAGAGAGAGAGAGAGAGAGAGAAAATGAATGAGTGGGGGAGGGGCAGAGAGAGAGGGAGACACAGAATGTGAAGCAGGCTCCAGGCTGTCAGCACAGAGCCTGACATGAGGCTCGAACTCACGGACCATGAGATCATGAGATCATGACCTGAGCCAAAGTCGGATGCTCAACCAACTGAGCCACTGAGGCGCCACTGTGTTGATAAGTATTTTAAAGGTAAATGACTTATTTAAAGAATTAACTTTTAATCATATCATCATGTAATCAATTTTAGACCATTACCTTTCAAAGGGGTCCTCATCCTCACTGAGAGTCACCTTTTGTGTGTATTTTTTTTTTAATTTTTTTTTTTCAACGTTTATTTATTTTTGGGACAGAGAGAGACAGAGCATGAACGGGGGAGGGGCAGAGAGAGAGGGAGACACAGAATCGGAAACAGGCTCCAGGCTCTGAGCCATCAGCCCAGAGCCCGACGCGGGGCTCGAACTCACGGACCGCGAGATCGTGACCTGGCTGAAGTCGGACGCTTAACCGACTGCGCCACCCAGGCGCCCCTTTTGTGTGTATTTTGATAGAGTAATGAGATGGATTTAAATTTCATTCTGTGATTTTTCTTCCTTTCAGGTTAAACCTTTTAGGACTGTATTTTTTGTAGTTGCAAAACTGACACATGCTCACTGCAGAAAAACTGAAATTGTAGGAAAGCATAAGTAATGAAATCGCAAGAATTAGTGATTTTCACTCTCCAGAGATCTCTGGAGACCTGTAACTTTTAATTTCTTCAGGGAAACCAAAAGGAGATTAAGGGCCAGTCTTATTCAGCTGGCCATCTGTGTGGGAACTCTGGACTAGAGACAGTGGCTTTTCTGCTCTGGGCCTCAGAGCAGGTGCCAGTTTGTTCTCCTTGGCTGTTTCAGAGTCAAGAAGAACTTGAAATTTTGAAATTTTGGACCTGATCATTCCATACTGACTTCTTCTTACTGAAAACATGGAGAAAAATGGAGAGGGATAAACTCATCTGAGCAAAATATATTTTTCTTTTCTGGTGATGTTATTTTACATATGCAAAACTGCAGAGAAGCAGCTAGAACAAGTCTTTCTCAAATATGAGATCTGAGGATTATAAGAGAGGAAATTGATACCCTTTTTTATTTTTTAAATGATTTTTGTTTTAAAAAGGAAGGAAGCCTATATAAATTAGCACAGATTTCCATCTGTGTTCCCTTGAAACGTAAGTTAATTCATATATGTTCGTAGACGACCCATGGCAGAAAAAAGGTAAATGGTAAAATAAATTTAGGAAAATGCTTGAAATGTAGTCTACTTGTAGTGGCTCCTGGTAGACATTCTGAGGCCTCTGAGGAGTGTTAGAGTTAAAAACTTGTTCTACCTAGATTAATCTGATTTCCCAAACTTACTTAACCATGTAATCCTTTTATTACAGCTTAGGGTATCATAGCACAGGTAGGGAAATTTAGGGCTAGAGTTTGTGGATATATTCTTAGGAAATGGAACCTTGATGAGGCAAATGGAATAAAAGTAGATGTATGAGCAGTAAGAAATGGCTTCATGTTCTAATTAGACACCTAAAAAATCAGAGTAAGGTGGGAAAATAAATTGGTACAATACTTCAGAGAGAAATTTGGCATTACGTGATATTGCTAAAGAATGCATATATTGTGGGGGCTCCTGGGTGGCGCAGTCGGTTAAGCGTCCGACTTCAGCCAGGTCACGATCTCGCGGTCCGTGAGTTCGAGCCCTGCGCCAGGCTCTGGGCTGATGGCTCAGAGCCTGGAGCCTGTTTCCGATTCTGTGTCTCCCTCTCTCTCTGCCCCTCCCCCGTTCATGCTCTGTCTCTCTCTGTCCCAAAAATAAATAAACGTTGAAAAAAAAAAAAAAAAAGAATGCATATATTGTGATACAGTAATTTCATGCCTATATACATACTCTAGAGTATTTTTCAGTACTTCAGTGTACGATAGACCACCTGGGCATTTCGTTAAAATGCAAATTCTGATTCAGCATATCTGGGGTACAGCCTGACATTCTGTATTTTTAACAAATTTCCAGGTGATGCTAATGCCTCTAGTCCACAGATCTTGCTTTGAGAAACAAGGAAGTGAAAACAGGAAACCTAGGTTTTAGTCCCAAATTTCCCACTGACTTGCTCCGTGACATAGGACAAGTTGCTTCCTGTCTGGGTAGGCCTCTTGTGACTCTAAACCTAGATTCTATGAAAGGCCATGCATCCCCAGTGTGAAAGATAACCACTGTTTATCCTTCTTAGGAGATCTCCCACTTTCTACCTCCAGCCATGTGGGAGCCAGTGGGAGATTTCACACAGTTACACAAACGTTCACAGTCCCTCTCTGTCATCCTCTTGTTACTCTGGATATGTGCATGGGAAACAAACAAGAGTATTCATAGCAGCATTGTAACAGCAAAGTACTGGAAACACCCAGATGTCCATCACAGGAGAACAGAGTGATTATGGCATATTTGTATAGCAGTTAACTGTCAGTGAATTAAAGCCACATGTATTTATATGTATAAATGCCCAAAACACAATAATGAGCAAAAAAGAGTAAGTTGTAGAATATGTACAAATAGCATTTGAATGTTAAAAAAATGCAAGATAGCAGTTGCCATATACGCATGTATATAGGTATGAAATAGCAAAAACACACATTAGATTAGCAAATACCAAATTTGGGGATCATGGTTCTTTCCGGAGAGGGAAATGTAAGTAGGATCAGGGAGAATAATGAGGTTCAGACATATCTGTAATGTGTCACTTCTTAAGCTGAGGGTTGAGTACAGAGATATTCATTGTATTCTCTATAATTTTTTGGTTTTTGAAATCTGTCACAATAAAATTCCTAAGAAAGAAAAGCTCTATAAAGGATCAAAAGGTAAATAGAAGGGTGGCATTTCTGGCTGTGACCAAGTGAGGAGATCAGCAAATTTTCTTAAAAGAAAGCAAGTATACAACTGAACAGAACTGACAGAAGCATCCACTTCAGTGTTCTGGAAATCAGCCAGAGGCATACAACG